GGTTTGATGGAAAGAAAACCAGCTTGGTGGCATGTACTTGAATTACCAGCTACTGAGAAGGCTGAGGTAGGAAGATCACTTCATCCTAGAAGTTTAAGGCCAACCTGGGCAGCATAGACAGACTGTCTCAACAAGCAAACAAAACCACTGACAGGATGATGTTTCCTTTAATATGTAGTAGGTTTGGCCACAGTGTGTCTTAGTTACTTTGCATGTTGTAATAGTTACTTTACATGTTGCTGGAACAAAATTAAAAACCTTTGTTCTTCCTACATAGCATTAAGAGAACGCAAAAGGCAAACTAAAGACTGGGAGAAAATATGCACAAATCTCATATATATATATATATATATATATATATATATATATACATGTATATACATATACATATACATATACATGTATATACATGTATACATATACATGTATATATGTACATATACATATAAGATACAGCTATACATGTCTATCTAAACATGTCTCAAAGAACTTACATCCAGAATATATAAAGAATTTTCATAGCTCTATAGTAAAGAACAACAGCCTGAGTTTTTAGAAAGGCAAAAGCCTTGAGCAAAAGAATTCATCAAAAGAAGATAGTCAAATGCAAAATAAATTAATTAAAAGATGCTTAACAGTATTAGCTCTAGGAAATGCAAATGAAACAACTAAATAGTCACATGTATTTTATGGTTAAAAAATAGTTAAAGCCTAAAGTAATGAATCCTACCAAGTACTGGAGCAAAGGAAGCAATGGGAATACATACCTAGCAGTGTGAATTAATGCAGTCACCATGGAAAGGGTTTGCTTGTTTAACATAAAGTTAAACTTACATCTACATATGACCTAGAAATCCATGCCTTAGAGACAGAGATTTGCACTCACACAAGAATACATGAGTGTCTATAGAGGCTCTACAAAAAAGAACACAGAAAATGGAAGCAACCCAAATGCACTCTGCTGGTGAATGGATAAAAAAACCATATGCACCATATTAAACATCATGGAATACTGTTCAGCAACAAAAATGATCACGCTGCTGGTACATTTGACAGTGTGAATGAACAACAAAAACACCATGCTGAATGAAAGAAACCAGACACAAAAGGGCCATACTCTATAGTTCTATTTGAAATTTATTAGGATAAGACTAATACTGTATCATTTAAAATGTATTTTTAGTGAATATATTTCACAAATACACTGAAGAATCATGCAATGCTGTCTACATTAGATGCAAGTCTGGGCCACACTCTTTGCAACTGAACCTGTGTAGCAGGTCTTTATTTGCCTTTATTGCCTACAGTGACCCCGGCAGTGTCGTCAAAATGAACACCCATCTTTCTTTATTTTTTCAAAGATTGATTTATTTATTATGTATAGAGTGTTCTGTCTGCATGTTTGCCTGCAGGCTAGAAGAGGGCATAAGATCTCATTATATTGTGAGCCACCATGTGGGTGCTGGGAATTGAACTCAGGACCTTTGGAAGAGCAGCCAGTGCTCTTAACCAATGAACCATCTCATCTCTCCAGCCGCAGCACCCCATCTTTTCTATATGACTTTCCTTGTCGAGTTACCACTGTTGGATGAACCTCTTTCTTAACTCTGATTTGTCATTCTTTTCTTCCTTCCTTCTTTACTTTTTGGAGACAGGGTTTCTTTGTGTAACCCTGAATTTTCTAGAACTTACTCCATAATCCAGGCTGTCCTCAGATTCACTCTACCCTCTGAGTGCTGGAATTAAAGGCCTGTGGCCACAATCTCCAGCTGGGTTGTCTCTCTTCACGGTGTCTATCACCATGTCACTCACCAGCAGCAGAAGTCTGTCCAGCCATCCCTTGATTTTCTTCGCAGAGGCACATTGTGGCTTCGCAGAGGCACATTGTGGCTTCGCAGAGGCACATTGTGGCTTCTGTTTTGTTGGCACAGTTATTGAAGCTCCTACAGAGAACCAGGGAAGTGCACCGAAAAAGTTAGAAGGCACCGGTTTCATTTTTTGATGACAGAAACCAGGATAAAGACTGCCTGGAGATGGACTGCAAACTCTTTGAAATGAGTAGTACCCATCATGATGGTCATGGGTGCATACATTTGTTGAAGATTGAAGTTCAAAATGTTCATGTCTTATTATCTAGTGAGATTACTTTTAAGTATATTGCAATGTATCTCAAACTGCTACTATAGACTCACTATGAATAAGCCATTAAATCATTATCTGGAAGGTAATGAGGCCCAGGGTTCTTACTCAATGGCTCAGTTAGTTTTGTATAAAATTTTGTGGGCTGGATAGATGGTTTAGTGGGTAAAGGCACTTGCTACTGAGCCTGATGACCAAGTTTTATACCTAGGACCCACACAGTAGAAGAAGAGAACTAACTCCCTGCAGGTTGTCTTCTGATTACCATCACTTGATATGGCAAAACACATATGAATGACTGTAAACACCTTTTAAAAATACCTTTACAATAATACAATTTTGAAAAAATTGCAATAACTTTAGGCTCCATTAAACCTGAATCTGCTGCTAGGTAGCCAGAATTTCTTAATGAAATGGAATAGAAAATATGAGTTTCACAAAATCTTTGTTTCAGTTTACTTTTAAAAATTATATTTATAAGATGGGCTTTTAATTCCAGCACTTATGAGGCAGAGACAAGCAGATCTCTCTAATTCAAGATCAGCCTGGTCTAGAAAATGAGTTTCAGGACAACCAGGGCAGTTACACAGAGAAATCCTGTTTCTAAAATAAGGTAGAGTAAAATGTTAAAATAAAATAAAATTGTATGTGGGTCTACTGTGGCACTCTGTTGTCTCCTTTGTCTGTGGGTTTCAGGGATTGAACTTAGGTCATCATCTTGAACCCTCTTGAATCATCTTGTCAGTCCTGTCTCAGTTTATACAATGGGTCAGGCTGTAATATTTTACAAGCAAGGTATGTGTTTGGACACACACACATGTACATAAGAGTACACACACACATGCTCATGCACTTGAGCATACACACACACACTGAAAACTCAGTGCTGTGTAAGAAACCTATACAAGTAAAATAGATATGTATATAATAGCAGTGTGTTTGAAAAGTGGACTTTTGGAAATAACCCCAAAACTCATAAATATGAGAGTAGGAAAATAAATATTCTGCACTATGTTTTTGGTGGAATTCTCTACAGCTAAAATGAAAACAAAAATAAAAACAAAACAAAACTAAAGCATCAGGTCAGACGATTGTCACAAAACAATAGCAAGTCAAGGAACTATGATATTAATAAAGTTTCAAACAATTTGAAATATTATGATGTAATGTCAATGTACTGTTCTTGGATATAGTAGAATGGGGGGGTGGTGGTAAACACAGGATAAAACAATGGACTTGAGTCAAGGCTGGCCAGCAGGCACTATAATATGTTTTATTTCATATCTGTGTGGTTTGCACATTTATACCTCATTCTTCATGGTGGCTTCATAGAAGTAAATGGAACAGAAATGACCATAGAACAGGAACCTAGGACAACAGAATGCTTTTTAAAAAGTTGTATTTATTCTTACTTTATGTGTATGAATGAGTGTATTGCATACCTGGTTCCAGAGGCCAGTTAAGGCAATGGATAGCTAGTTAAGGGAATAGATAGCTTAGAACTGAATTGAAGATGTTTCCAAGCCTCCATGTGAGTTCCAGGAACCAAACCCTGGTCTCTGAGAAAGAAATGTTTTTAACTGCTGAACCATCTTCTCACTACACCGACCCCATGATTTATTAAGGGTATATCTGTGTACTCAACAAAACCTTATTTATTCCAAATTTGCATGTAAATGCATGCAGCCGTTTCCTCTAAATCTTGCCTTAGCTGCTTGCCCCGCCCACTCATGCCTAGGTTTGGGAAGGTTCTTATTCAGTGGCTGAATTATGTAAATAACAACAGAATGGTTGATCGAAAAGTGTTGGCTTTGAGATCCTTAAATGATGGAAGTAGGGATTAGAGATACATCATCAAAGAATGACTTTGATGAATAACTATTAAGAACAAAGGAGGGAGGCTGGTTCCCTCCTAGCTCGGTCCACTGATTCACTCAGATTGGTTAAAGGCGTCTGTCATCTTTTACTACTTAGATCTCCACTCCTTGTAAACCTAATGTGTAATAGTCACAACTGCTCACTCTCAGCTCCCACAGCTGAGTTTCATTCAAAGTCAATCAAAATGCAACTTTGCCTTAGTTTTCAATACAAGCCCCAATCTTTGCACCCACAGTTCTGCAGACTTCATTCTCATTTAAATAGTGTTGGATATTAAAAGGAGATCGAGTTCTTACATTTTAAAATGTGATAACTTTGAAGCTCATTAACATCTAAATGCCGTTTGTTGTTAAAAAGTAAAACCATGTCTACTGTGAAGCAAAAGTCTACAGTCCAATTAGCTTTCTCCGTTGTTCTGGCTGGGAGAACTCTGTTATAGGAGCATTGAACTTGCCTTAGGAAAATCTTGTGTGCTGTAGTTATTACAGTATGGAAAAAGGAGAAGAACCCTCTGACAGAACTCAGGAAAACCGGGAAAGTTGCACTAGGAGCCCACGCATCCCGGGTGGGTTTTTTTTTTTTTTTTTTTTTTTTTTTAACCTTGGCTCAGGTATTGGACCCGCATTGAAAGCTTCTAGCAAAAACCCGGAGCCTTCTGGCAGCCTGACGGCTATCAGGCTCCACAGGTCCCTTTAAGGCACCCTACGCGCGGAAAAAGGGGAGCGCAGGGGGCGGGAGCAGGGTTCGCGATCGCACGCCACGTGACTCCGCTGCAGACTCGACCAGAGAGTTTGACAGAAGTTTGAATCGGACTCGGGGGCTTTCTGCAGCCGGCGGGGCAGCGGTGGACACAGCCTCCGAGAGCGCGAGCAGCAGCGCCCCCACGACCCAGCCCGCCAGCCAGCCTGGAGCCCGGCCTGCCCACGGCCGCGAGCCCGCCTTCCCCAGCGCCCCCGAGCGCCCCGCAGCCCCCCGGCCAGGGAGCCGAAACCCCGCACTGCGCCCCGCAGCTCCAGCATGTCCTCGACGGAGAACCCCGGCCGCACGTCGGACAAGTCCCAGCGTCCGCAGGTACGCCCCAAGCGCCTGGCCCGTGAACTCTCACCAGCCCCTGTCCACCTGGATGTCCTGCCTGACTCTGATTCCACGTTCCCCGCCTCCCCACCCCCTGTATGAGTAGCTGGGGACCCAAGCCCCCATCCCTGCCCGCCGCCTTGACCGTCTACTGGTTCTGTCTCGGCAGGTGGACCGCCTGCTTGTGGGGCTGCGCTGGCGGCGCCTGGAGGAGCCGCTGGGCTTCATCAAAGTCCTCCAGTGGGTGAGTCGGCCCTAGTCCGGGGCTATTTCGGGAGCCTGGATTGTGACGCTGACCCGAAGCAATGTGGCCCCGAGGAGGCTGGGGAGATGCGTCGGGCCCAGGCTACAGCGGAAGGGTGGCGGGTAGCGACAGGTGGGCGGGGGGAGGGGATGGCCAGGGCTGCTTCTCCAGCACTTGGTGGAAGGAGGGAGAGGAGCCAGGCCTGCGGAGTCCTGGATTCGGACCTTCTATGTGCAAGACGCCTTTGCCCAGAGCGCTCACATTTCACTCGGGCGAGAGGACCCGGGTGTAACCTTTCCAGAACTCTGATCCTGCACATACCACTGTGCAGTGGTGGGAGGGGTGAGGAGGACAGGGGGGTAAGGTCCGCTTTGCAGTGAGAGCAAAGCCACGGAGGGCACAGGAGGGAAGGAAGAGGGTTACAGAAGCCATTCTACCCAGAACGCTCTAGGACCTGGATGACAGACTCCCAGCTGAGGTCACTGGAGTAATTTGGGCATCTGTTACCGAGTAAAGAAGTAGATGAATGAATGAATAGTTTCCCAGTCCTGTGATTAAATAAAACAATTGATACAGAAGAAAAAAATCACAGCATGAGTAAAATATGGCAACTAGGATAACAGAGCACTGAGCTGGGAAGGTAAGGTGGTAGGTTGCAGGCCTAGATTTACCTTTCTCAGCTCTGTGACCTTGGGCAAGCCACTTCTCTGGACATCGGTTTCCAGCATTAGTCAAACCTGTCAGCATGCTAGACTATAGCTCGACATTAATTTTACCCTGTGTCCTTGAAATGTTCATCTGCTAGGTCCTCCGTTTCCCCTGCTTTGGTCTAGTAGGAATATTGCTTTGTTTCACTGGTACTTTGAGACATTGGCAAGCTCTCTGTTCTTAGACCCAATGCCCAAGATCGTCATATATTAGAAACGTGGACAGATATGATCAGTTTTTCAAAACGTAAAGACTTGGGGGGGCATTTTATGCATTCTTGCAAAAAGGATTTTATTAGATAATCCATGTGCCAACTGCTATATATGAAGGTTTTTTTCTTTTTTCACCACCGTGGTTTTTCTAGACAGTTTCTTTGTGTAGCCTTGGCTGTCCTGGAACTCCCTTTGTAGACACACACACACACACACACACACACACACCAGATTCACCTGGCTCTGCCTCTCTAGTGCTGGGTTGAAAGGACCGTGCCACCACTGCCTGGCTTATGTGAAGTTTTTAATGTGCCCTCAGCGGTGGATTCAGCTGGGGAACAACTTGCCATTGATACCTGGGAGGAGTGAGAGCTTTGCATTCACCAGTGACAGGATTTATCACGCTGTCACCAAATCCTAAATACTAGTGGTTTGGATGGGACTAGTCAAATTTGGAGTTCAGGGTCAACAGTGCATTTGGGATTGTCTCTGGGTATCTGAGACCCTGACTGGCTGCAGACCAGTCTGGGAGTCCCAAGTGTAAAGAAACTATGGGACTTTCCACTCTCTCTGATGCCTCAAGAGTGGGGCCAGTGTTGACTGAACTCTTTCACCTCTTGCCCTTTCTTGTTCTGACTTGAGAACCAGACGGGATGGGAGTAGGAAAAGTAAGTTCATAAGTAAGGAGGCATTGTGAGCAACCCAGACGAAAGGGACAGAACTGCTGTCTAAACCAGACAAGTGGATCTAATAGAAAGTTGAGACAGACTGCCAAGGGCCAGAGGTAACCACGAGGAAAGACCAGGGATTTGTTTTCCCCAGAAAGATTCAAAAAAAGCTTCCTTCTTTGACCTTGCCCATCTTTCTCGCCACTACCTCCTACAACACTCCTGTGCTCAGCAATCCCGAGCACAATGACCCAATGTTCTTCTAACCTTAAGTCTTAGGTTCCCAACCTTCCTGATGCTGCAACCCCTTGATACAATTCCTTTTGTTGTGTTAACCTCACCACCACCAAAAAATTATTTTGTTGCTACTTCATTACTGTAATTCTGCTACAGTTATGAACCACGACCCAAGGGGGTCATGACTCACAGGTTAAAACCACTCTCCTAAGAATTAAGACTTCTCTGATTTTTATGAACATTATAGGGAAGGAATTGTACAAAACAGGGACCTCCTTTCTCTTATACTGCTAAATTAGGCTCGGGAAAGACTTGGAACTGACCTTTATTCACAGAGTGGCATCATAAAGAGCCATGATTTGCTTTTAGTGCTACTTCAGGTAGACTTAAATTCAGGGTGTGAGTTTGGCTTGCTTAAATATTTGCAGATGGACAGAAAAGTACATAGGAACCAGTGTTAGAAACACTTCTGGAGGAGAAGTGGAGGAGAAAAAGAACACAGATAATTATTACAGTGACTATTAAAATTTTTTATTATTATTACCCAAAGGTTTTACTGGAATCCTTGTGAGAAGAAAGTGAGTTAATTCTTTTATGAGTTGGGACTTTGAGTGTCTTTAAGATTTGGAAATTAAGCTGGCCTTAGTGACACACACCTTTAGACCCAGCAATTAGGAGCAGAGATAGGCGGATCTCAGCCTAGCCTATCCAACCAAATAAGCAAAAAGACTCAGAAATTAATCTCAATTCAGTTACAATCCAAGAATATTATCAGGTCTATATCAAGCCAGCCAGACAACTCTATCCATCCATTTGTCTGTCCATCCATCCATTCATCCATCCATCCTTTTTTTTTTTTTGAGACAGGTTTTTGTTGTTTTCTTTTTAACTTTTATATTATTTTATACTAGCATTCATGTGTGTGTGTGTGAGGGGGAGGGTGCAGCTCACAAGTGCAAGTGCCCAGCTTTCATATGGAGATCAACGGAGTTTGTTTTCTCTTCTAATTTTTACATAGATTCTTGGGGATGGAACTCCAGGTCACCATGGTTACATGACAAGTGCCTTTAAGCCATCTCCCTGGCACCCAAAATTAGCTTTAAAAGAAAAGAAAGGAAAAAAATACCTAGGATTGGATGGATTTTGACTTAAAGTCAGTCTTCTCTGTTTTCCATCTCTTAAAGCTTGGTTAAGTAATGAAATCTTTATGGCCTCAACTGAGGCTAAACCATGTCATTCACGTTTACTGGGAGGACTATGTGAGGTAATGTCTGCAATGCATTGAACATTCTTGAAGATCACGGTGAGCAGATTCCATACATGTGTGTTCCCTTTCCCATACTTTCCCTAACTTTCTTCTTTATGCATACTGTCCCACCAAAGTCACCCTTTGGTGAGGTTGCTCAAATACCATTGCCAACCCTTCAGTCAGAATGTAAGGTACAAAATAGTCCAGGTGACTCAATCATATGGGATTCCATTTCCTTACCAATAATAATAGGTCATATTAATTTTATCCTAGTATGCTCTCCTGATGAGGACTGATAATTTGGGAGTGGGGAGGCAGGCTTTGGGATTTATAATGCAAAGAAGTTATTTCATTGGTGGAATTTATTTTTATTTGTTTGGTACTTTCTTTTTTCTATTGGAGATTTTGAATGGACACTGTCAGAGTCTACAACAGCAATAGATGATTGTGAGCAAGACTTGGGAAAGAACCAGTGAATTAGTCCACATCAGAGTGGAGCCCTGATCTTAAGCCTGGAGGGTTATTCTATCTTTTCCAAGAGATGCAAGAGATGCAAAGGAAGGGGGAAGAAGAAGGGGAGGTAGAGAGCAAAGTGCAACCATCACCATTTCCAGCACCAGAGCTCCTGAAAGTATCCTGCTCTCAGGCAATCCATCTTTGTTCTTTATGATCAGTGTGTTATCTCACAGCCTTGTATAAGAGAGGCGTGATTTCAAGGTCTTCTCCTCTTGTTCCAGGGGCTTAGTTCCCTATGTGGTCATGGCAGCAAGCAATCTGGTACAGAAAAGTAAAGGGTTTGAAGCTGAGAATGGGCAGGGATGGTGACTCTGCTCCTGCAGCCCGGGGCAGAGTGCCTGCCTCCCTCCTTGTAGCATTCACTACACAGAAGAGATCTCTTCTTCAGCCTTTGGGTCTCACTCATCTGAATATCTCAAGTGTCAGGGCACAAGGTAGATGCTGAGTTTCAAATGAATGAATGAAATAGAAGGTGCTCAGAACAGGGAACCAGGAGCTGTGAATTTGAAACCCAGCTCTCACATTAGCTAAATATGACTTTGAGACATCACTTAATCAGAGAAAGGAGAGCTTGTGTCCAGAAGTGGTCTGATAATGTCTGAGGTCTTTTTGGTCCCTATGAGGTGCTCAGATTTTCCTGTTATCCACTAACTCTGCTATCTGGCACCACTGATTGTGGTGTTCTGTGTTTGGAGATAAGATTTTATGGTAGAGCACTTGTCTAGCATACTTAAGGCCCTGTGTTCACCAGACACCACAAAATGAATAAATAACATTCACTCTGACAAGTTAAAAAAAAAAACCCTACTATAAACAGTGTTTAGATATTCCTCTCAATCAAAATAGAAAAGAATAAACAATTAACAGCAAAGTTGTTATGAGTATAGTTCACTTTTCAAAGAATCAGAGTAGGTTCATAGCTTAGACTTACAATTTTTATTAATGATGAGAAAGTTCTGTAATCCATGCTGATAGTAGAGTAGGGGTTTGTTGCAATGACTATTAAGCACTTGCTATGTGGCTGGTGTGACGGAGTAACTGAATCTTAGATTTTGTTTCATTTTATTTGAAGCAATTTAAATAGCCATACATGGCTGAACACTACTCGTTGAATAGTATGACTCTAAGGCATGAGCTCCATGAGGACAGAAACCCCTCTGTCTCTCTGCCTCTCTGCGTCTCTCTCTGCTAAAGTGACTGGTACAGGTACATACTTGAGAAATACAGTCTTTTTTTTTTTTTCAGTTTAAAAACGTAGGTTCTTATTTTATTTTCTGAAACAAAAGTTGAAGAAGGTATCAGGTACTCAGTCATTTCCCGATGAGACAAATATGACAGTCTGAGATATCATGACATTGGCAGTCTTGCAAATCAGCCTTGTTTTGTTCAACCAAGAAATGCCATCTTTTGGCAGGTGTTCAACAGTGCCCAGGGAAGAAAAGGTTCCATACTTGGTATTCACTCCCCCAAGTTAGGGGTTTGTACATGTTTCCTTATGCTCACTGACAAACAGCCAGTGAATAAAAATATACCCAACATTGCTGCCCTTGCTCAGATGTGACACCATGATGTGTCCTGTCCTAGGCACTGGAAACTGAGAGGAATTAGGACTTCCATGAGGAGTCAGAGAGTCACAGAGTGGATGAAGTTAAGAACATCCCTCTGAGGATGAGCTAGTGAGGGTCCATTGTGCTGCTTGTGAGGTCAGCTTTGAGTATGTTAAAGGTATGGTATGAAGGCATCTAGGGACTTTTCTCTGTCCCTGGCTCTGTCAGGGTGAGCCAACATGCTCTACTGCAGCTTTCAGAGCTTAGTTCAGACTTAGTGTGTGTTATGTAGGCACTGCAGGCAGGTACTCTGTCCTCTTTCCCTGGTATTGTCACCTATACAGATAATTCTTACTCCTTTGGAGCAAGTCTGCTGAAAATAGGGGCACACATGACCTTTGCAGAGCAGTCAATGGCTCCAGCACTGAGCTCTGCCGGGCCAGGCCATGCAAGGCGTGGTGGTAGCACTGGGTACCACCCAGGGGCAGAGCACAGCTGTTGGTAAACCCAGCCAAGAGCATGCTCTGTTGATAGTATTAACTTCAGAGGGTGGAAAAATTCCAGAGTTGGAAACAGCCTTTAAATAAACCCCAAGTCCTTTTTTTTAAAAAAAAAAAAACGAAGAGACTGGGACTCAGAAAGCCAAGCCTCCTAACAAATGAGTTACAGGGCCTGGGTTTCCTAATCCCTAATCTAGATCTCTTTTCACTTTGATCAGCATTAGAAAAAACGCACAACTCTATTCTTGACTGGATGCAGGTCCCAAGTACAGATTACTGTCTTCTTGCTTAATGTCCAAAAACACTAAGAGAAGCAGATAAAGACAAACAATGAACAATACATTCAACATTTACTAAGAATGTTCCTATCATGTCAAAGGAAGATGCACAGGAAATGAGCTGAACAGACAGACAATTGGAGAGAGCAAGAGATTGAAGTTTCTTACTTTCCGTTCTAATCAATATGTGTTTCCCCAGAAAGAAATGTATCATAGGATGGGGACATTTCATATCAATCAAGACAGAAGGTGTGGTCAGCTGTGATGAAAGGTGGAACAGAAAACAATTCCAGTGGTCTGAAACACCCCTGCTTTCTACCACTGGGAAATGGCAGCATCAGCAGATTACAAAGAGGAACCGCAGTGGGAAATAATAGAGGCTGATAAGGAAAGTGGAGGGTGCTTTCCCTGGGCTTGAGCCAGGCCTGATGACATTCACAGAGCAGATGCTGTTGCTGGAAGGGCATGTGCTTTCAGGGAAGAAAAGTCAGGCTGGCAGTACCACTAAGAGGCTTGGTAGAAGCCTCCCCTCCATCATACCTCCAATGAGGCAAGAAACTACTGGAAGTTAGAAATAAAGTAAGGGCAAGAGTCCATGACTAGTCAAGGAGGAATGGAGATTAAAATAAATGGAAAGCATTCCAGACATGCCTGATCTGGTTTGATTTATTTCTATTCTCTTGTTTGGGGGTGGGGGGGTCTAGCTTTGAAACAGACATTTATTTCCAAAGCCAGAATTACAGAGGTTTTGTGTTAGTTGTTATCTTAAAGAAGCTATGTGTGGTCCTGAGTGCCACGCGCAATAGAGAGGTCTGGAAACAGTTTCCTCTCACTTCCTCTTCCTTGAGACCACACTCAAAGTCAGTCTTCTTCATTTGGTTACTTGGTCCAATGCTTTGTTCAGAAAATACAATATTTGGAGAGGAAAGAAGAATGGCAGCTGAGGGTCCCTACGGAGCAACTGGATAAAAGGAATCCTTCCTCCCTGCTCACTAAGCATCTGCACCCTCTGGAGTCACAGGGTGGCTCTTAACCTTGGACAGGTGAGGCCTTCTGACTCTCAAAGCGACTTCACTCTCTCTCAGCTCTTTGCTATTTTCGCCTTCGGGTCCTGCGGCTCTTACAGCGGGGAGACGGGAGCCATGGTTCGGTGCAACAACGAAGCCAAGGATGTGAGCTCCATCATTGTTTTGTTCGGCTATCCCTTCAGGTAAGTAGGGATTGGTTCTGACCCAGTGACCTCCTTTTACTAGGTTAGCAGGGCTTTTTCCCTCCTCTGTTCCTACCAACCTCACATTATTTATGTCTACTCATAGGACACACAACCTAAAGACCATTTACTATGCACTCCTCTAGAGCAAAACAGAACGACACCTGGCTCATTCTGTCTTTTAGCCATTTCAGACACTCTGACCAGAGTGAAACATGGATATACCGTTGTTATGATGGCCCAGTCCAAACTCAAGCAACGGCAGCTCATCACAGCTCTCTCTGCTCCTCTGCAGATTCCTCTGTGCCTCGAAGGAAGCTTGTTAGAGTTTAAATATTAAACAGTAAATGTGAAATGCTCACCTGATGTCACCCAAATACAAGGAGGTACATCTTGGCCAGAAAATAGAAGAGGATACTCACCCCTGAGTATTTGGGAGCCTGAGGAGGGGAGATGACTGTTCAGAGGGACACGGAGGCAGAGTTCATCTTTTCAGAGTGTCTGAAACCATTTCAGCCTCCAAGTTAGATTAAACACCTCTTCTACACACAAGCTGTATTTTCCACTTATTTTTTTTTTTTTAAATTCAATGTGACCTAATTAGGGAGGGCTAAATCAAACCTTAACTTGGCCACTGCTTAATACAGGCCTACATGTTTCTAAGAACAGAATGATTCTGATTTGTCTAGTGGTTGGGCTAACAAAAATAGTTGGACTGTATATATGTTATGACTTAAAGGTTCCTAGTGATACTTAGAAATCCATGGTGACCATTTCTGGCCAGATGGATGGGTATGGAATGGCTGCTGAATATAAGGCTTGGATGGAATCTTGGACTAGAGCTGTATCTTGGTGGTTAAAGTGCTTGGCTAGCATGTGTGAGACCCTATGTTCAACCTCCAATATTACCAGAAAAAAAAAAAAAAAAAAAAAAAAAAGGATGAGTAGAATCTTTCGGTAGCTTCTGGCTTAACTGCAAGATTTGCTCAGAAGTTCCTACTTACATGACTCTTTTCCCAGGGTGAGAACCAACACAGGGGCCCTTCCTGGGCAGGGCTAGAGAGGCTGGCCCTCACTCAGCATTGGCTTCCATTGCCACCTGCAGGTTGCACCGGGTCCAGTATGAGATGCCTCTCTGTGATGAAGACTCCACCTCCAAAACCATGCACCTCATGGGAGACTTCTCTGCCTCCGCGGAGTTCTTTGTGACCCTGGGCATCTTTTCCTTCTTCTACACAATGGCTGCCCTCGTCCTCTACCTGCGCTTCCACAACCTCTACACAGAGAACAAACGCTTCCCACTGGTGGTGAGTGAGCACAGCCCAGATGGATGAGGTCAAAAAATGGAAGAGCCATTTGTTAGAAGGCTGAAGTCAGAGATGGAGGAGAGGTCAAAAGTGATGGCTCTGAGCCCTTGATACCTATGTGTGGAATGGAACCTCTGCCCTACAAACCTCTCTTGCTTTGTTTGCAGTCAGAGGAGGCAGGGTCTAGAGCTAACCTAACTGGGTTCAAATCCTAGCACTTGCTCGTAGTAGCTGTGTGACATTAGATGAGTTACTCAGCCTCTCTACACATTCATTTCCTTGGCTAGAAAATAAAGATGAAATAATGAATACTTGTGCCAAGTATTTGATGAGGATAAAACGAATATAACTGTAGAACATCTAGCACGTAGCTATTCTCAATGAGCATTATTTCTGCTACTTCCTCTGTCTTTCAGACTTTCAAGATGAAAAGTGGGCTTTAGAGACCTCAATTGTCTTCTGAATCTGCTTTCTTCATTACTTATAGTTTGAACAGTGGGGATCCAAGGGAAGCTGGGAGGAGAGAGTAGGGAGTTTAAATTACTTGGGTTGCAAGGAGGGAGGATTACCAGCAGATACCTTGGCAGCTCATTGCCTGACTATAATTCTAAGGGCAGGAGTATGGTGGTCTGAGTGGCACCATTCCTTTGATGGCACTGAACAGAGTCCTCAGGTAGGATGGAAAAAGAACCTGTCTTGGGACCTTGGGATTCTGGTGACCCCTGGGCTATCCTGAATATGTCTTCTTCCCTCTGCTCATCCTAGGATTTCTGTGTGACTGTCTCCTTCACCTTCTTCTGGCTGGTTGCTGCAGCTGCCTGGGGCAAGGGCTTGACTGATGTCAAAGGGGCCACACGGCCATCCAGCCTGACTGCAGCCATGTCCGTGTGTCATGGAGAGGATGCAGTATGCAGTGCCGGGGCCACACCCTCCATGGGGCTAGCTAACATCTCTGTGGTGAGACCTGGGTCTGGGAAAGGCATAGCAGCCCAGCTGTCCCAGCTGGCTGGTTCTGAGAAGAATAGGGGTGTCCCCAGGGCCCATATGCTGTGCCTCTAGACTAGTAACCCTGTCTCTGACATTGACCTGAGGAGATATTTTTGGACGAGAATCTGAGTCACTTCTTTACCAACACCCCCCCCCCCACTTTAGCTGCTCTGGAGGTTACCCTTTCTTGACTGTTTGGCTACATGTCACATGAGAGCATGTACAGAGGGAGCTCAGGGTTGTTAATGGACCATTGTGAGAGAGAAACTGCCCCTTGTCACATAGCCTTCTAATGGAAAGGGTTTAGGGGGCAGTGGTGGGTTCAGCTGGCAGGCAACCCAAGTTTTGGTCGTCCTGGTTGTTACAAATCTGTATCTATATAAGCTGGTAAATACCCACCCGCGTAGCAAATGCCCTTCTCAAGTGCCCCCTTATCATCTCAGCCACCCCATACCCACTCAGAGAATGCCCCAGACCTCCCCAAGGCCACAATTGAAATATTTAATGGCCATTGCACCAGGGAGCCCTCTGAAACTATGCACATAGGTTTCTCTTCCAATTTTTAAATATAAAAATTTTCACATATCCAGCAAAATTGAAAAAGATTTACAGGAGAGGCCTACATAGTCACCACCTAAACTGTAGCATTTCAATGTATCTGCTTTATATGTATTTACCATTTCTGAGACAAGGTCATGCTACATATCCCAAGTTGTCCTTGAATGTATATAGCTCGAGCTAGTTTTGTGTGTGTGTGTATGTTTTGTTTTTTGTTTGTTTGTTTGTTTGTTTGGGTTTTTTTTTTTTTTTGAGTTAGGGTTTCTCTGGAGCTTTGGCTCCTGTCCTGGAACTCACTCTGTAGACAAGCCTGGCCTTGAACTCACAGAGATCTGCCAGTTTCTGCCTCCCGAGTGCTGGGATTAAAGGCATGGGCCACTACTTCCCTGCCCAAGCTGCCTTTCAATTGATGAATCTCTTGCCTCTGTCTTCTAAATACTGGGATTTATTATTTGTGCTTTTATACTTGGCTTTTTGTTTGTGTTTTGAGATACTATCTCAGAAATTTGAGACTAGTCTCAAATTCACAATCTTCCTTCCTTTATCTTCTAAGTGCTAGGATTACACAGGTGTAAACCACCACAATCTTATTAGTATCATTATTATTTTGAGACAAAGTTTTACTATATAGCCCTGGCTGGCCTGGAACTCACTATATAGAACAGACTGGTCTCCAACTCATGAGGACTGCTGTCTCTGTTGTACAGAGCCACCATGGCTAACTCAATCCAATTTTTAAAATGCCTTTCAAAGTGAATTGTAAACATAGGTTCATTTCTCCCTAATTATCCATTTGTTAGATTTTGTTGGGTTTGGTATTTTGTTGTTGTTATTGTTGTTGTGTGGTGTGTGTGTGGTGTTGAGACAGTGTCTTATAATATAGTCATGGCCGACTTGGAACTATCTTATGTAGACCAGACTGACCTCAGAATCACAGAGATCCTCATGCCTCTTTCTCTGGAGTACTAGAGTTAAAGGTGTGTGCCTCTAACCCTCTCTATGTTGTTAGTTTTTCAAAACACTTAAAATAAATATTTAAATAGGGCTAGTGTGGTGGCACACACCTGTAATACCAACAGCCTGTCAGGCAGAGGCAGGAGGATTACAGGTCCTAGAACAGTCAAGGTACACAGAGAAAACAAACAACAACAGCAAAAACAACAGACATTTGAACAATGCCTTCTCTCACTGAGTCTCTAGCCCGAAGGGAGTACCTTGGACAGCTCCAGCCTCGTGCACCTCAAGCAGGCTGGCACGTGTTCCTTGACTTATTTAGCATTACTAGGGTCAGATTCAGCTAGTGACCAAGCTACACTGCCAATGAGTACTCTGACTAGAGTTTAGACACTTTCACTGGAGAATCCCTTAATAGACAATGGCCGTGAACCCTGCCCCCTACCTAATTCTCTGTGCACTTCCTCTTCCCAGTTCTCCTGCGGCTCCTCCACGACTATTCTCACAAACTCTCCTGATTTCTCTTTTAGCTCTTCGGCTTTATCAACTTCTTCCTGTGGGCTGGAAACTGTTGGTTTGTGTTCAAAGAGACACCATGGCATGGACAGGGCCAGGACCAGGGCCAGGGCCAGGGCCCCAGCCAGGAGAGTGCTGCAGAACAAGGGGCGGTGGAGAAGCAGTAAACATCTGGCTACTCCAGAACTGGACAGCACCTCTTCATCTCCTCTGCCTTCCACAGGACCCTCCTCCTCCAACTCCCTTCCCCCACTATTCTGGGCTTTGAGATTTGAGATGATGGATGGGTAGGCATCAGCTATTGGTAACCTGGGCAGCCCTCTACTGGCTTCCTAATCCCTCATCCTGCTGGAACTGCAAATGGTGGCAGCGCAGTTCTTGTCTACTGCCTGGACTCAGGGAGACCCATTACCCTATCTGAGGGCCCTCTAAGGGTCCACATGAGGCCTGGACTCAGTGGGAGCAGCCACTGTGCTGCATCTTCTAGGAAGAATGTCAGGAAAGTTTCTGGCAGAATACATTTTCTGTCCCCTCAGTTCTCTCTGTCCCTTAGCTAGAATATTTTCAGTAGCTCCCTAAACTCTACTTACTCATGAAACTCTTAACTTCCCTCTCCTTCATGGACTTGGTTTTGTCTCACACTTAGGAAACAAGATGAGAAGGCTAGGAATATTTCTACTTCATTCTTCCACCCCCACCTGTCAGCCCATCTCCCTCCCCTAACTTTTTGGGCATGAGGCATTTAAGATCTGTTTTTTGATGTCTGTCCAGGCTTTCCTTTTATTCCTGTGGGTGTTAGGAGGGCCTAAAGGACCATCACGAAGCAGAGGTGCCCAGGAGTCCCTTACTGTCTGCTCATTTTTCTCCATTTTCTCAAATCAGCACCTTTTCTAGTCTTTATACCTTTCCTTCCTCATCTTTACAAAGAGGTGTTCTCTCAAAGTCCTCCCTTGCTCCTTATGGTAGCCAGGCTCTACCCCTCCTCCAGTCCTGGGCAGCCCGATGCTAATGGTGCTTCTTCACTCTGGGACCCAGTTCCATATTTGTCTCTAGTGTGTCTCCTCTTCTTGACACCTCCTTCCATCTCTCCTTGGGCCCCAAGGTCTGAGGGTACCAACTGGGAAAATGCCATCTGCATCCTGCCCAGATCAAAACCCCTTGGTCTACCCTGGCACTAGGGATGCGCAGGGAAAGATGAAGAAGGAAGAATCCAGACATTTCCCAATGTAGTACCAATTGGCTCACTTAGTATCCCAAAGATGGATGTGTCCTGTACTAACTTGTCCTCAAGACCGGGCCAACCCTCTCCAACCTCCTCACCTTCCTCAATGCTACCCACACCAAGATGTGTATTACTTGGGTCCCCAGGCCTTAGAACCCATAACTTTGGGCCATCCATTTCTTCTTTGGGTTATAATTCCCCACTTGACAGGGGGAGTATGATTTTTACACACTTATAGATGCTCCCAAGCCCTTCAGTAAAATAACTTGGAATTTTTGTTTTCTGTTTTAAATTTTGGGGAAATAATTTAAGGATGAAAAAAGAAATTGATGAGGGCAAGGATATTCCTAAATCTGAAACTGTCTATCCTAAGTTGTCCCCGTGGTTAAGGACAAGGGGGACAGTTTTGCCTACAGATCTAGAGATACAAAGAACAAAGGGGTGACCTTCATTTTTTTCTTCAAGCAAGCCCCTGTGGGGATCTGTGAGCAGCTTCTACTCGAACTCTGGATTCTGCGTCTATATTTATAATTATTTGAAATGTGATGGATAAGGTGTTCTCATTTGGGGGCCTAAGTTAGCAACTGGCCCATAGACTTCTTTAGAAAGGGAACTAACTGTCCACGTCCACTGGGCACTCAGCCCAGAGCTCTCTCTAGGGCTGAGAAGGCCTTTCTTCACCAAGAGTCTGGCTGGTTCTTGGCCAGAAGAGCCTTGATTCAGGCTATGACCTCTCTCTCCATGGTGACCCTAAGAGGAAAGACCAGTTCACCTCATTACCTCCATGGGGCTGAGCAGGATAAATGCCAAGGGCAGGGTTGTCTTCATAGGACTCATGTCCTCTCCAACCAGGGCTGGCACCACCACTTTGCCTAGTCAGGCCTGCAGTAGGAGAAGGTTTCTGGCTTCTCTAGCTGTTGCAGGAGGCCAAGGAGCACGGGACTTGCCCTTTGTCCTGCTCCACTCTGACCATGTGGAGATGCCCATCCAGGACCTTTCTTAGACATGAGTTCCCTTCAACATCCTCACCATGGGTCTCCTAATTCTAGGACTACAGATCAAGGGTGAGGAGAATGTTGCATGTTGTTTTCTGGTGCTTGTCATTACACATTTGAATAAATAGTGCTGCGAACATTTGCCACAAAAAAGCCAAGACCGGAGGGCTGCCGGGAATTTTTTTTCCTCTCTGTTCCCCTTGTTCTATGTTCTTGGACAAATATCAGCATTTCTACCAAGACATCACTCGACTCCTCTCTACTCGGCACCCTAGGCAATAGAGTCTGCTGGCTGAGCAATTGTTCTTGGCAAGCCCCAGGCTGGTGACATCGACTCTTTTGGTGGCACCCAATTAGTCCAAAGAAACTGAGACTCATTAGCAAATCTGGATCAAACTCAAAAGGCAAAAGATAGTGGCTTCCACAGTGCTGTCTCCATTTGTTCTCTACCATCTGTGACCCAAGGGAAGAATCGAGGAGCATATGCTTCCTTCTCTACTATAGGGTTCACGCTGCACGAACTTGCACCTCCATAGAGAGTCACGTGTTACATTTACATTCCCTACAGAAATGTACTTGGACACAGTTTTACATTTAATCTCATCAGGTTCCTGGGTCTCTTAGGGATCACCTATGGGTGAGTCTTGGCTTACAACTTCTGCTGAGATATTACTCTTTATATGGAAAGAAGAAAATCTGCGGTCTTAAAGTCACAGACCTTGACTTATTTGCTCCCAAACTTGGTTTCTTTTGGGCAAAGGGATGCAATATGGCGTGAGATGTGAGGTATTGCGGGGGGGGGGGGGAGGAGGGAAGAGGATTAATATTTCATTTCCAACGAGAATGGGATAGGAGGTGGGGGCAGACTTTTGTCTCTGGTGTGAGGGAAAAAATATTATCAGCTGAGAAGGTGGGTGATTAAGGTACTTCCTGGGTCTTAGCAGGAAAGAGAAAAAAAAAAAAAAAAAAATGAGGAGAAACCTCCCTATGCCAAGGCTTCAGTGGTAGCTTTTCCAGCGGTGAAAATATTCATTAGAAAAAGAAGCCAAAATGATGGATGGAGTCAGGGTTCAGCCAGGATTTGGGAAGAGGCGGTGCAGGTTATCGATCGTAGTTCTCAGGAGGAGAGAGATGGATCAACAACAGAGACACTGCAAACACCAGAAGCCTAGGGGCCACCCTAGTTCCGGGGCTGGTTCTGGCTCGGAGATAGTCTTCTGTCATACTGACAGGTGATCTTGGCAAGCTCAGCCAGGTCCTCCTAAACCTAGACAACAGCACTCCAACCCTCCGTTCTGCATCAAGGCAGCGTGGGTTTTCCACAGAGGAACAGCACAGGAGCTGGGGCCCTCCCCCACTCCAAGCCCTGTGTCCTTCAGCACGTCCTGCAGACTCCCTCCCCTTGCCCTTCTGATTCACTGCGCCCACCTCCCTGCACCTACCCTATTCGATCTACAGGGGAGCAGAGTCGCTTCGTGGCCGCCAGCCCAGGAAGGGGCGCCAGCCAGCTGGCGGATGCACGGCTTTAGTGGGTATCTTGGGCAGAGAGAGATTTGGGGCTCGGGTGTGCGTAGTAAGCTTGGAAGAGTGGACTGGTGACGCAAAGGATGTGAGCAGAGGGGTTGGAAGAGGGTATCCCGAGGTTTTGATCTCTCCTTGCCCGCGTGTGATTGTGCGTTTTGGAAGGGATCCCTCGGCTAGCTCCGTAGGCATCGCCACCACTCCGCAACTACACTTCCCAGAAAGCTGTGCGGGAGTGAGGAGGTGGTGGCAGGACACCCAAACTGCGCTTGCGCAAAGAGTGAACTGGCAAGGTAGGGGGAGGGAGGCGTGCCCCCGGTCGGGGGAGGGTGGGGGAGGGGGCCGCGCGGCGGCGGCGCCGGGGCGGGCGCGCGTCCGCGGCGGTGATGGCGGTGCGTGAACGCGCGGTGGCAGCAATGGCCGCTCTGGAGCGGCGAGTGCCGAGTCTCGATGACTTCGCGGGACAGAGCTGGAGCTCGTGGGTGGAACGGGCCGACCTGCCTGCGGCAGATGGTGAGTACAGCCACACTAGAGTCCGGGGACCCCATCACTACCTCCCCTCCCCCCTTAGGGCCCCCTCCAGCTAAGGGGAGCCGCCGTCTAGAGCCGCCGTCCGGCTCCCCGGCCCCCCAAACAAAGGACCCGCCGGGTCCTAGTGCCCGCCTGCTCAGCCTCCTTCGCGCCTCCGGGTCCTAGCGCCGGCGCATCGCTTGCAGCCCACCCTGCCCACCTCTGCCTCTGCGGGTGCACAGTACCTGCCCCCCACTTTACTTGCCATTATCTTCCTTCTTGTGCGCTGGCCTTCAGCTTCCATCCGTCCTGCACCTGCTCCGGCTCTACCCATCTGCAACAGTCCTCTCCACGTGTTTCCCACGCACCCCACTTCTGTGCCCCCCTCCCCGTCCCCTTGATCCTTTGCCTTTTGCCCTACACCTTAGCTTTTTTCCACATTTCTCTGCCTGCTGCAGTATTCGTGAACCCCCGCCCCCCTCTGCTTCAGTTCATCCATCCTCCATACATCCATCTATCCTCCCTACCGCCCTCCTTCAGTCCATCCATCCATGCCTCCAAGCTTCCATCCTTTCCTGGGCCTCTTGCCCTGCCCCTTGGCTCTCTCCCTTGACCCCTATTTTCTGTAGGCCCTTGAGTGCCTTTGGTGAACAGGCCTGCAGCCCCTTCTGATCTTTGTCTTCTGGGCCCCAGGGAGCACCTGGCCTGGTGGCCTTTCGGGGTGACAGCAAGCATCACACCCCTGAAGAAGTTTGCAAGTGAGAAGAGGTGGAGGAGGAGATCTCATGGAGCAGTCTCTAATGACACTTGTTCTCTTTTCGAGACGACTGACTTCCAGCTCTGTGCTATCATTCTCCACACTTGCATTTGAGGGACTTAGACGCGTGGGAGCTGCCTCTTGTCTTTTGCATGCCTAACCCACTACCACTTACGTCTGGGTATTATGATTGCCAATAGTCTTCTCACCCTGGAAAGGGGCTTTGGAGAGCCCCTTAGTGAGCTTTAGAGAGCCCACCTAGTGGGAGTACAGGCCACCCTTGGACTGCCACATGCTGAGTGGGCTGACATGGGGCCCTAGTCAGGGTCTAGGTGCACT